ACCCAGGACAAGACACAACACAATTTTTGCTACGAGAGAAATAATTTTCAAGGTACAAAATCACAGCAACACTAACATGAAGTATATTTGTCTAGGATACATAAGACCATAAAGGAGAAACTTCTAGACATGTCTATCCCTAGTTTAGGGAATCTTCCACTCTATTGCTTTGTGTAGGTATTTAAGTAACAATTAAAACAAGATAATGAAGTGGTAACTAAATCATAGAATCACAGAGTGGTTTGGGTTGGAAAGGACCTTAAAGCTCATCTAGTTCCAACCCCCTGCCACAGGCAGGCACACTTTCCACTAGACCAGGTTGCTCCAAGCCCTGTCCAAACTGGCCTTGAACACTGCCAGGGATGGGGCAGCCACAGCTTCTCTGGGCAACCTGTGCCAGTGTCTCCGCACTCTCACAGTAAAGAACTTCTTTCTGGTAACTAAAGCTGCCAGATCTAAAGGATTATTTTAGTATCTGTAAACTGAATTTTTTGTGAGATGCAGGCATTTCAAAGCCACAGATTTCTAACCCTTCCACCAAGATGTACTGTAATGATTTCAACCTTTTAATTGCCTTTTTTTTTAATTGCTTATTATTCATCAGAAAGCTTATAAGGTCTGTGTCTGCACTGAATGCTTTGTCCAAGTCTGAGCCTAGGTGTGTGCTCTAATTTGCCCATTATGGGTCTTCTCAAATGTCTACATCTGGGCTGCAGGGTCTCTTAGCCACTTTCATAGCTCTAATACCCCTCAGACTAGAAGAGACTGTTAGTTTTCACCTCCTGGATTAGACCAGCAGTGGCAACATGATCACAGCTTTACCCTCCTGGTGCCTGCAGGCAAACTACTGGTGCTCTGGCTTGGAAGCACAAGACACGCGGTGGTTGTAGGTATCTGTCAGCAGCCAGCCGAGACCTGTTCATGGAGTTAGAAAATTCAGCCTTCTGGAGCAGTGGAATGTGAGCAGGCAGATACCAACAGCTGCCATCTCCGGACAAGTATGGCTAACTAGAGACCAGCAGCCGCAACAGCAGATTTGCCTGTCTGTTCAGGGAGTTCAAGCCTGTCTTAAGCACATAGTGAAAAAATAACCAAAGATAAAGATTTCAATTATTTTTAACTCACTTGCTCATTTACGCATATGTTATTGCCAGCAAAAATGCAGCTTCCTCCAAAGTATAAATGAATCTTTAACTAGAGTCAGAAACTGTGGAGGAACAATGTACAACTGACTTCAGAACACCTATTTTTGAACTGGCTAATGTAATTAAAGAAGTCTGCCAACTACATAAGCAAAGTTATTTTGCAGCAAAATGAGAAATAAATCTTAAATGGTAAGAAGTGACTTAATGATGATTTAAGTGCACAAACTAATATAGGATAAACTTTGGGAGTGGCTTTGAAATGCTTGAAAACATATCAGAGAGATGTTTAGGAAGACAAATCTTTCAGATTACCTGCTGATATTAATTATTCAACTCCAAGCCTCTTTCAAACAAGATCTCTTAAAGAAGTTCAGTCATAAACAGACCAGAAGATACACAGCAAAGAAAACAGATGGAGTAACTGGCTTGTTTTTTTCTTGGCAGGCTGTGTTCCAGTGGTGATTTCACTGGTGACAATACCTCCAGACAGGCAACCCAAGGAACTGGTGGAATTAATTTATGTGTGTTCTGAAATAAGGAATCTGTAAATTAACAGAAAAAAGTGAATCTGTTTCTGAAATAAGGAAGCTATACTGGATTCTTGGCCCTGATCTGCTGCCAGCTATTATCTTCTGCAGAAGACTTGATCCCAGCTGACAACCTGACCAACCTAAGAGGATCACATCTTTCTGATTAGCTGAAAGCTGTGTACAGAGACGGACCTTTGGGGGATGGAGGTAAGTAGGTAGTAGGTGTTTTGGAACAGATGGTTCTTGCTTCTCTCCTATATGGAGATAAAATTAACTTTTCAATGATCACTTTTAGTTCACAGTGAACACGCAGGAGGAGGATCTGTTCTATGGGTCTTTAAAACATGTTTTTTTGGTCTGCCTTGGACAGGACTCAAGGTAAGGAAAGACGTATTTTTCATCAAAGCTGGAAAGTCATTATAGTCACATATTCAGTAAAAGTTCTCAAGGGTGTACTTTTACAATAAGCTTAGATGAACTTGCACATAGTGCTACACTTGTAAATCAGGGAAAAACATCTGTCCTTAATATAAGAGGGAATAAGGAGAACAGGAAACTAATCCTTGCTATTATTCTTCTTGATAAGCTTTTTTGCTTTCTTAAACCAAATCTTTCTTCTACCTCCTCTTTTGGTCTTGAAGAAAGAGCTGGAAAAAGCATTTTCCTTATAGAACTTACCAAGTTTCTTTCTAGGCCTGACAGAGGCTACATGCCTTGTAATGATGTCCTCTCCATGGAGATGTCCCTGAATAGAAATTTTGTAATGCTCATCTTTTTGAAAACATATACATTTTGCCACAGTTTGTGGGCTTACTTAAAGGCTGTTTTCAAAGAGCATTTATCCTGCTTGCCCACAGCAGTTTGTAAAATGCAGGAGTCCAAAGGATTGTTTGTATCCATTTCATATTAATTCCTACATCTGCGGACAATTAACAGTTGTACCCACAACTCAGCAGACTTCGATGCAACAGGTTCTTTTAGCTACCTTCCCATGCAGCAGAAAACCCAAACAACTGACTGACCCTTCTTTTGCAGGCGTTAGACCATTTACACATAAGTAAGTTAGTTTTCTTACCCTGGTTCTGGATAAGCTCCTCCAACTGCAGAACCATTCAACAAGACATGTATCACCCCAGAACTGTGCTGTGCATACTGCAATAGATAACGGTTTTTTTAGAACTTACAGATTTGTTACATGGCTTGGTATTGTATTGCAAGCAACAACGACCAAAAAAAGAGCTTTACCAAGAAGACGTATCAGAATTGTGAAAATAATACTAAACTAGCACCCTAGGAGGTCATTGCAGTAGAGAGGATAAGAACTAAATAGCCAGTGCACTAAATCAATACATCTTCTACAATTATTTTCTCACACCTATAAATAGTTTCTTCAGCATAGGGAGAAAGCTTTTTGGCACTCTGTGTTGGGTTTGATCTGTGAATTATGCTTAATATATACTAACAAAGCTAACAGAATTTTAACATATTATCTAGCTAAGGTGAAAGTTAGGCTCCTCTTGCTAAAACACTGCACCCTGTGTAAACCAGTGTATTTGTATCAGAGGAACTAACCTAACACAGTTACAAACTTAAACCTGGTTAGATCCAGTGATGTTTCCGTGAACCACCCAGGACACACTCAGTAACGTAAGAAGTCAGCACTAATGAATTATTTACAGTGATTGAGGTCATCCTCCAGAAAGATTCCACTGCGTTGTTTTCACATTCCTCCGTGGTAGGGCAGGATTCATAGTCCAGTTCTGTAGGAAGGCATGTGATTTGTGCTATTAGAGAGATGATTAGGACTGTAAAAAGCGACATTAGAAAGCAATGAAATGTATTTGTGCATTACTTACTGAACACACAAGATGGTCTGACACAACACTGAAAGCTGACAGTTGTATTTTTTTCTATTGTTTTCCAACCTGTGCACTTTACATAAGCAGTGACATTCTGTGGATTCAATAATTTGGCTGAAATAGCTACAACTCTGTATCTGGGATGCAGAGAGCTCTGCATTCAGAGGACTGAGAAGGAGGTTTATCTCCTGTGCCGCACTGTTTAGATTTCACTGTGTGCTCCCCTGACCACAATGTTACATATTCACACAAAACAGAAGAGAATGAGTCAGTGAAGCTATCTCTGATTTTTCATGTTCCTCCAGAACACAGCAGTTCTCCATTATGGTTTTAGACACAGATGTTTAATATAGTACACATTGTCTTACCGATGCTGTTTGCCTGCCCACACCAGTTTAGAAAATCTCCAAAGCAGCCAAACAGAGTATCAGCCAGAGACATGTAGCGACGGCCCCTGCCAGCAAAGCTGTTGACTAGCAGATGATTATTTTCCCAGAAGAGAGACTATAGAAAAAAAGGTGGGGAGAAAAAGAAAAGGAGAGAAGAAATCAACAAATGAACATCACTTGGGCATGGACACACTGAGATGATGGGGTGCTGAAAACAGTTCTAAACATGTTTTGATACTTCGTTCAAAATCAAGCTAATAACCTGAAAATGTTAGCTATATCTTTAGTGGAACAAAGTTGTTCGTGTTTTTTTTGGTTTGGGTTGGGTTTTTTTTTTTACAGTGATGTAAATTCTGATCACTAGAGGCTTGAGGAGCATTTACACCATGATGGTAATGGATATAGACTTACATGAAGTATAGTTAGGCCTAGCTTTGCCTTCCTCTGCAGACAGATTTAGGAAAAGGGAGAAAAAAAGGGAAGATGGATATTTATAAGCCAGATATATTTTACCAGAATTCTCTCACACTGCTATGTTGGTTTATGGTGTGAACAAAATCACGCATCTAGCTGGTATTTCTGTGTTTGCAGAACTCTTTCATGAATTAAGCAATGTTGACAACAGTATTTGTTGGTTTAGCTTGTAGCATTTAGAGATAAGGAATAACTGCGCCAGAGGAAAAACTGCTTTAAAACACAACCTTTTAGAGAAGGCCAAAGCACACATTCTGATGGCGTGAAGAGCTGTGGTTTTTGCACTTTCATTCTGATGGTGTGAAGAGCTGTGGTTTTTGCACTTTCACAGTTCTCTGCAATTGCCAGCACATCAAACCCTTACTGTTTCCTAGCACATAATGGTGTCTTATCCCATTTCTGCTTATGTTTGTTTAACATGTCAATGTTTAACATGTCATGGCCCTGAGAGTTGGCTGTGAGGAGTGGAAGCAAAAGACAACAACAGGCACAGCAGGTGCAGGCAGAGCACCTAACTTGAGGAAAAGTAGAAGCGGAGGTTCAGGAACTGTGACAGAGCTCCCAGTACAGCAGGAAAAATGGGGACCTTTGTAAAAAAATAGAGAAGTTGCTGAGAAGTTACCGCACAAAAGAAATGCAGCCAAACACATTGATAAATGCCATAAAGCCAGAGCCTTGTTTGTAAACTACAGACTGGCCAAAAATAATGTATCATGAATCAGCCACATAATGACTCTTGGTCAATTTTGAACTGCGTCATGGAAAATTTGCTGAATGTCACAGGACTGTTAACATAACATTAATAATCATTACCTTGTTAGGTGGAATTGTGTGCAATGACAGGTTGATAAATAATTCATAGTCCTCAGGTAGAATGCTGCAAGGATCCTTGTTAATAAATGCACTTTTAAATGCTTCCCATATCTCTGAACAGTTTTTCTCCCTGTAATCATTGAAACAAACAAATAGCAGAGTTGTTCTCTCAAAGCAGAGCAAGAAAGTTATTTGTTCCCAACTTCCTCAAATTCCCAAATTAAAACCACTACAAGCTTAAGATAAGATAGAAAATTGAAGTCAGGGTGGTAAAAAACTTGTAATCCAGGAAAAGCATATACATTTTGTCTTCTTATGACTCCTAACAGCAGCAGATTAGGAAGAAATAGCAACGAAAATATTAGGATTGGCAGTGTGGAATTAGATATACATAGTAATTCAACAAAAAATCTTAGCAGGTACACTCTGCACATTAAGCTTATTATCCACCATTGTAAAAATACTAAAGAAAACAGCTTTCTTTGAAATTTTCCAGATTGAAAATGCTACTTGAATTAAAGTGTAGCTAAATGTGCAAATCTACTGGAATGTAAAATTACTCTTAAAATGTCAGATTCAAATGCAGGATAAGTTACTGAAAAGTTTTGATAGAATAATGGTTTTGACAGAGAGAAGCTTTCTGTGTATATAGGCCCTAGGACCATGCAGCTTTACCTTGCTGGAAGGAGTACAGTGACTGTGTGGAACATGTACTGTCACTGTGCAGTAGCTACAAGAATATTGTTAGGATTCAAGATCGTGAAGGGAGGCCTGAAATAAGATGCTAGGCTGTGCACTTCTACATTTCCCTTCTGCCAGCTCTGCCCTGGGGACAATAATCTGTGGAAGGACAGGACAGGCCATCTAGGAAGTGTATCTCTGGATTTGCTGGATCTTGTCTGTCACAGATCTGAGCCTGCCTGGAGTAATTAACAAGAGAATTGCTACTTTCACCACTTTCCCATAGTGCCTTCCCCACATATGCTGTGCCATATGTGCACAGCACATATATGCAGCACAGCACAGACATGCAGCACATATGTCTGTGCTGGGAACACTCTACAGAACAGAATAATGTATATTAAGTGCATACAGCATTCTTAATGTGAACAGCTGTAAGTGCAAAGCTCTAGCTTGAACAACAGTAGTCCTGGTAAGTAAATCAAACTTTGCCATTAAGTGTTTTGCTCATTTAATGACATCCATAGACAGCAGGGTTTCTGCTGGCGCTTCTCCTCATGACTTTCGTTAAGGAGCTGCTTTGTGATGCTGAATGTCACAGATACTTCAAAGGACCCCTCGTGATGAGCTAAGCAGCTCTCATGCAGGAAACAGACCACAGATTCTCTTACGGTAATCCCTAGTCATGTTCCAACACCTATATCACAAGCAAATATAGGATCTTGATCTGAAAACCTCCAGTGATGCAATACAACCCTTGATCAGTAGCTCTAATGTTTAAATAGCTTTACTTGATAAAAGGATTTGCACTCTATTTCAGATTTCAAGCTGTTAAACTTTAGCTTCTGATAATGGTATATGTCTCGTTCTGCTAAAGAGCTGTCTAATGTAAGCACTCCTTATTCATGCCAGTACTTGTCAATTACGATCAACTGAACTGTTAACATCTTTCCTGACAGTTGAATCCATCAGTAATTTTCTGGTTAATTCACATATTGCATTTTTTTTTTTCTTCATGTCTTTTCATCCAGGTTTGAACAGCTTGTACACCAAAAGGATTATTCTGCTCTGCTGCTCAAAATTTCTTAGCTGGCAAAAATACTTTTTGAAACTACAGGATGGGGAAGGACTATAGTTCAGGACAATAGCTTCCAATCTTAATAGACACTAGTAAGTCATGTTGGATTTATTTCATACTAGTCAGTCAAAAAAAAATGTTTTCAGAACTTCCATTGTATACTGCAAATAAAGAAATATGGGGGAAATGCACTACAGGAACAGTTGTGTCACATAGCATACTCCTGTAAGAAATTAGATCTTCATTCAAATCCCTCATTTCTACATGATCGTAACATTTTGTATAATGCCTTTCTTAATTGCCATTTTTCATGTTCTGCTTTAAGACAAGGGAAAGTTTTTCTTATGCTTCTATAGACATCTTTATGTTTTAATTATGCTGCAGTGTAAAGGCATGCTAGGCTAGCTCCCCTTCTGTTAGCAAAGGATTTTAGAAAAATTATTCTATTTGCTCATAAATTCAGAAGTAAAAGCTACCCAGGTGGCTATGCCTCTGTAAAAGCTAGCCTGGGCGTAATTAAGAAACAAACAATGAATGTTATAAATAATTACAATATCTGTTTTGCACCTGTGCAATAAGAAATTTCCATTTTGTTTAGATCACACTATTTGCTTATAGACCTAAGGGAAATAGAAAACAACACATCCTATGAAATTAATTGTGCAGCTCTTCTTTTTATAATGCTATTTTTGGGCCTTAATTCAGGAAAACAGTCCTAATGCGCAGCCTGGCTTCAGGCTATTCTGAGAAAGAATACTTTGATGAATGTGTTCAGACTTCTCAATTTTAAAGTTACATTGTGAAAATGTCACAGGAATTAATTAGACCACAAACCAGTCATAAACAAAGACATATAGAAATACTTTTTAAGAACACTGTATTTACATTTTTAAAAGCCAAAATCAGTTAATGATAAAGTTAACATTTCCAGAATAACAATCCCTATGTTGCTGTTTTAATGTATTTGTATTATTAGTCATGTGTTGCTTCACATGTAAATGAAGTGACATCTGTTAACTCCAACAGGAACTCTGCCCATCTAAAGCCTGCTGCAGACCAGACTTCATATACTTACACAACTGTTAACTGATGTACGTTTTCATAGGATAAATTATATAT